TTTTTTTTGGTACTGGGAATCGAACTCATGACCTCAGGCTTGCCAGGCTTGTCAATGAAGTTGCTCAGATTACCAGATGTAAGAATTCAAGATTGATTAAATGAGTAAAGAGGATAAAATGTAATAAAATCATTAGAAGTGATACAGAGCTTCACTAAACAAGATGGTAGGAATTCCACAAGGTTTTATATTGCATATTGTTGTCTTGAGATTAGTATTTCGAGATTACCAGATTTAAGCACACAAAATTGGTCAAGCAAAAAACGTTAAGCATTCACTGTTCCTTTCAGTAAACTATTGATTCTTTGTATTGTTTTCTTAGTCTCTACTGCATTGATTTTTTCTCTTATCCTTAGAATTTTCTCCCTCATGTGGGCTTTGGGTTTGATTTGTTCTTTTTCTAGAAACTTGAGGCTCAACATTAGGTTGTTTATTTCAGGTTGTTTTGTTTTTCTGATATGCAAGTTCATTGCTATAAATTTTCCTCATAGGACTTCTTTCATTGCATCCCATAAGCTTTGGTATATTGTATCAGTATTATCATTTAATTGTATATATTTAGTGTCATCTTTCATTTCCTCTGAGATCCATTAGTTGTTCAGAAGGAGTTTTTAAAAATTTCCCTATGTTAATATAGTTTTTGTGGTTTCCTTTGTTGTTGATTTGCAGTTTCATTGCATTATGGTCAGATAGCATGCATGGGATGATTTCAATTCCTCTACATTTCCTTAAACATGTTTTGCTAGCTAATATATGATCTATTTTGGAGATCATCCCATGTACAGCTGAGAAGAATGTATATTCTGGTATTTTGGGGTGGGGCACTCTGTAGACATCTACCAAATTCATTTGTTCACAGGCTTGAATTAGTTTTAATATTTTGTTGTTGATTTTTTATCTAGTTAATCTATCCATTTGTGAGTGTGGTGTATTAAAGTCCTCCATGACAATTGTGTTATTACTTATTTGGTTTTTAATGTCAGTTAAAATTTGTTTTATGTAGTTGGGTGAACTTGTGCTTGGTGCATAAATATTTATGGTTGTTATCTTTTTTTCTTGGAGTTTTTCCTTAACTAATATGTAGTGACCTTCTTTGTCTCTCTTGATCAATTTTGGCTTAAAGTTTGCACTGTCTGTGAATAGAATAGCTGCCTATGCTTTTTTTCTGTGTTCTTATGACATGGAGAATTGTTTTCAATCCTTTGCTAGTCTATGAATCTCTTTTTGGGTCAAATGTGTTTCTTGAATGTAGTTTTTGGTTGGATCTTGTTTCTTGATCCATTCTTCCTGTCTGTTTGTTTTGATTGATGAGTTAGACCATTTATGTTGATGGTTATAACTGATATATACTGGCTTTTCTTTTCCATGTTGTTTCCCTGTTTTTTGTTCCTAGTCTTTCTGCTCTGTTTAACTGCCTGCTGTGCCTGGTGGCTTTTTCTAATGGTGTTCCTGTGTGTGTGGTCTTCATTATCTCTGTCTAGTATATCTTTCAAAGCATTCTGCAGAGATGGTTTGGTGGTCATAAATTTCTTCAGTTGCTCCTTGTCGTGGAAGTACCTTATTTTTCCATAAATTTTGAAGGATAAGTTTGCTGGTTACATCAACGTGGGTTGAAGACTGTTTTCCTTTAGGGCTTGAAATATTTCACTCCAAGCTCTGCTTGACTTGAGGGTTTGTGTTGAGATGTCTCCTGTGATTCTGATAGGCTTTGCTTTATAGTTAATATGTTTCTTTTCTCTAGCTGCTTTTAATATTTTGTTCTTGTGCTTAATTTTTGGAATCTTGATTATTATGTGCCTTCATGTGGATTTATTTTGGTCATGGCTATTTGGAGCTCTTATGCTTCATTGTATGTCAAATTCTTTATCCATGTTTGGGAAGTTTTCTACCATTATTTCTGTGAAGAGGTTTTTTTTTTTATTTTTTATAATGTACCTGAAATACTTTTTTTTTTTTTTTGTGAAGAGGTTTTTAAAGGTTTTGCTTTGTCTTCAGCTTTCACACTGATTCCAATCAGTCTTCTGTTGTTTTTCTTTGCTTCATCCTGTAGCTGTTGGACGGATTTTTCATTGCCTCTTGCAATTTTCAAGATATCTTTCTTCTCCTACTTGCTAGTTGCGTTCCTGTCTTCTAGAGCTGATATTTTATCCTCTCCTTTATTCAGTCTAATGCATATACTTTCAGTGGAGTTTATAATCTCCTTCATTTCTGTTTGGATCTGCTTTATTGATTCCATTTCTTGTCTGTTTTTCATTCCTGGTTTCCATCATTTTCCTGAGTTCCTCTATTTGTTTATCCTTGTCTGCTTTAATGTCTTTCATTTTGATAGTGATTCCTTTTTGCACCTTAGAGATTATTTTTTCTGTGGTCTCTTCCATGTTTTTTTTTTTTTTCATTTATGCTGCTGTCATTTCAGAGGGTTCTTTGTTGGATTCCAATTTCATCTATCTCTTTGGGTTCTGGACTTGTTCTGAGTAGGCTGGATGTTTTGGATATTTTGTTTCTTTGTTTTGTAACTTTCTACTTTATTTTGTTTTCTTTTGATGCTTTTAGCTTTTAATATTAGATAACCTTAATCACTGATGTTGAGGCTTTCCTGGGAGATATCTGTTCCTCCAGATGTCACCTTTTGCCAGTGTCACAGTCCTGGGGCAACTGAGAAAAGAAGCAGTGTGAATTCACACTTCTGTTACTGTCACTGATGTCCCCAGGAAATGGAGAAAGAACCAGGCGTGGACTTACACTCTTTTCACTGATACTGCCTTCATATTCTCCCAAACACCTTCTTCACTCTTCCTGCCAGAACCACCATTCAAGGAAAATGGAAGGGGTGCAGGTCACAGGCTTGCTCTCTTTACACTGGCACTGCCGACCTGAGGCAATTTTTGCCCCATATTTTAAACATTCAATCCCCATAGAATGCATGTACTTTTGTTCTTCAATTTAATCATTCAGTTTAATTATTCACTTCCCCAAAAAGCTAGACTTTTGGGGGGGACCCCATGTTTCTAACTCTGTTTATTCTTCTTTAGTCTATTTTATCTCTGTTGCTTATATTAAGAAAAGGATGATCCAGCTTCAGATTCTCTGATTTCAGCCTCTATTATTGACATTGTGGTTTGACTTCCTATTTCTTCTGTCATTATATATTGTAGAACTATAATTTTTACACTTATGCACAACTTTCCAAAGGTATTTGCTCCAAATTTTCACATTTGTTTCAAGAGAATTTTTATACAAATATTGAAAATTCTTTATAACAGTTGTTTTGGTACTTTGGTCAGAAAATGCAATGTTTAATCCCTCTCAGTGTTGGTGACTGTTGATTGGCTTTTCACATTCAAATTATGGCTTTCCTGGGTTTTAGTATGGGGGATATTTTGATTATGAAGTTAGGGACTCAGTACTGTGTACATCATTATCTTAATCATTCTTTCATCACTGGGACAGAATACTCAATTTGCAGAATATCTGCAAATTAAAAGAGGAGAAAATTTTTGGTTTACAGTCTTAGTAGGCTCATTGCAGCAGGCTGGCTGCAAGGCAAAAATGGTGTGATAGAAGTGCTAGTTGAAAGAAAGCTACCTACCCCATGGCAACCAGAAGAAGAGAGAGAAGAAGGAGTGAGGGACAGGAATACACCCTTCCAGGTTACAATCCCAGGGATCCACCTCCAACCAGGCCCCACCTCCTAAAATCAAGGTTAGCTACTTATGGATGGATGAGTGCACTGATGAGCACATGTGATCCAATCACCTCTGAAAAAATGAGGCTTGTGGGGGACATTATTGATCCACACATAATCCGTGTTTTGTACTTGTAGAAGTTAACTCCCCATCCACCCTCACAGTGTCGTACTTTTCATTATGCTTGGTATTCTCTTTAGTCATAGAACCCTCTTCTTAATAATATATTGAATTCTTCTTAATATTATATTGCATTCTGGTTCTTCATGAATTTGGGGTGCATTTTTCCTTCAAACCTTCATTTCTAATATCACAAAGCCATTGACCTGTGTCTGAATTTCTATGAGATATTCATAAACCACAATTTTAAAATGAAAAATATACTGCATTATTTTCCTTATCTATATTAATTTGTTTTTCCTTAATAAAACTGCTTGTATTGATTTTCTTTCTCTTCTCTCCTTTAGATGATTTATATGGCTCGATATGCCAAGGACGTTGCTGTCTCTTATTACCATTTTGATTTAATGAATAATTTACATCCTGATCCTGGCACCTGGGAAGAGTATTTGGAGAAATTCTTAATGGGAAATGGTAGGTAGACCTCAGTTTAAAATTAATTAGTCAAACTTTTATATTTAATAATACTACTAACCATCACTAGCACAATTCTTTCAAAATACTTCTTTTTTAAGTTAATGCATTCAAATATGGTACAAGTACATTGAAATTTCATTTTTAAAGAATCAAGTAAATGCATATATTATTTTACCAAACTGTTTGGCTTATAAGCCTGATATTAACTTTTGGCGTGATGAATGCATCCTGGAATACTTTCTCTTCTGCTAGAATTTCATTCTCAGTCTCTGCTTTCTTAGACTGCTTAACTTGCCCAAATTATTAGTTAGGTGTGTTACAAGCACACTATATTTATAGCACTTAGATATGTAATTGAAATAAATACTGTGTTGGAGAATAGTTTTCCCCATACAAGGTTGAGTAGAACTTATGGGTAGTCAGTGTACTTTTATCTGAAATACTTTGCACTTTAGTATTTTTTAGCATACAAAAATGGCTAATTTTACATTTAAAAAATTCATCCTGTAGTTTGTGTTCTCTTTATTACCAAATCTTGCAAAAGGTAAGATTTACAATTTTGCTTATTGTTCAGAAATAAATCTTTGCTTTGTAAAATGTTTACAGAAATAGAATTTTTTTTTTCTGGTTTTAGTGCCGTATGGTTCTTGGTTTAATCATGTCAAAAGTTGGTGGAAGAAAACAGAAGAATATCCAATCCTTTTCTTGTTCTATGAAGACATGAAACAGGTAAAATGGTACACATGTATTCTGTATACTGTCCTTATTATGTCCTGGGATAAAAGGATTAACATTTTTCTTTCAGTAGTATGTAGAGCCCAAAATGACATGATTGCATCTTTATTCCCCATAACTGCTTATCTGTACTAGATAAGATCATTAATGATTTTCTAATTGTGAAATTTATGACTGATTTTTTTCCTCATCTCTTATTCACTTATATTTGATCACCTGTTCTCCATTAAATCATCTCTTAATTTGCTAGGACTTTATGCTTTAATGATTTTTGGGTATCTGTCCATACACTGATATTTTCAGTAATTATCTATATATTTGGTATCATGTTCACACTCACTGTTTCCACAAATATTTATGATCTTTATTTTTATTTTTATTTGTACCAAAAATTTCAAACCTAGTCATATACCTTTTATCTTCATTTAACTTGTTCAAAACAAAAAATTTATTTCTCCCTCTTCAAAATGTGATCCTTTTCTCCTTCCATTCTCTTGCTTGGGTAATTATTTTATTATTATTTCCAGTTTTCCAAGTTTGAAGATAAGTTGTTCTTCTGGCTTTCTTTCCTATATCCTGGACATCTAATTGGCTCACATGTCTTATATACTGTGTTTCTAAAATAGGTCCCCTTCTTTACTTTCTCCCTATCTCTCTCCTACTTCAGGGACAAATAGTTCATCTAGTCTTTTGTAGGAAGTAGTTTTAGTTCAATGCTCCTGCAAAGTTCCAGCACTACTGTGGGACTATTCTACTTATGTTCAACATGCACTTACACTCACAAATGCATAAGCACATGCTCACATACATGCACACACATACACACACACATGCACACACACACTCATATACTCACACACCAGTTTTGGAAACTACATACAAACAAGTTCTTTTAGTTGTACAAAAACCTTTGCATGCAAATCTACTTTTTTATACTTTTAGATTAACACAGGAAAGTATAACTTTTCATCTTTGTATTTGTGTGTCTAGTACTTAATACATATATTTATGTACATACCACATAAAGAGAGCAATTATCACTCAGTGCATGAATCATTTACTGTTTGAATGAATGACTAGTAATAATTAAAATTTCAACAAAGTTGTTCCTAGCAGGGTTTAAAATCAATGAATAGGGTTTTCATGTCTACTTGTGAGTCTGTCCCAAGCCTAGGCCCCTTGTTTGGAGATGGGCATTGGACTCATAGTAAGTGAACCTCTATGAGTCACTGGTCCTGGCTGAGGCCTGTAGTGGCCTGTGATGCCATGATGCCTTAAAGGAAAAGACAAGGCCACAGCTGAGGACACCTGGCTCCAAGCGCAATTAACTAGATAAAGTCTGTAGCTGAATGCATCTCACTCTTGTGGGGAAAGTCAACATAGATATAAGATAATTCTCTTAAACTGACACAGTGTATTACTTGGAGAAGTCCTTGAACTGACTCTTAAGGTCCCGCTCAGTTTCTCCCACACTTTCCACTCTAATTCCGTCCTTTATTTGAAAACCAAATAAATATGGGTCACCCAAATTAGTTCTTTTTCCCAGTGCTGAGAGAACCTCAAATTCTGCTAGAGGGTTTTGATTCCCGTGGAGCCATAAATGCATACCATTTGTCTTTAATTTAAGCTTTCACCATCCACTTTGTTTGGGAGGTTGTAAGTCTGATCAGTTTCTGATAAATCCTACTTTTCATAATACGGAAATTATATTCTATGTGTAAAACCTTTTGCTTTAAGCATAACTGAAAAATTCTCAAGGCGTTTCCCATACCTTACCACAGAGAATTCTTTTTTTATTTTGTACTGGAAATTTAATGACTTCGTGCTTACCAGGCAGGCGCTGTGCCACTGAGGTATATCCCCAGCCATTACAGAGAATTCTTGTGTTTTGTTGTTCTGCTAGGTACAGTTTGTAGCTAGGCACAATCTGACTGCTAGACTTCATCACTGTCTCTTTATTCAGAGCTTGAGGTAATCAGTATCAATTTACTACCACTCCACATCTGCAAGATGTAACATGGTTTTATAAAATCACTTTAACAAAACAATAATCTCCCTTGAGTGTTTGATCAGCCAGATTTAAATGGTTCCTAAGATACAAAATCGTACCTCCTCTCTACCAACTGCCTCTCTTCATCTTCTGGATGCCAGAACAACACTTTTAACCTTATTAAAAAAGAGCACATTAAGCTTCTGACTATACATTGTCCCTTTTCCCCATAAGAACTGGATAAACATTTCCTGGGCTAGCCTGCAGTTCATATTGAGTGGGGCATGATGAGTCTACATATCCTTCTGCTGTGTATGTCATACCTAACAGTCAGTGTTTATTTCTCCTGTTATACCACCATTTTTAGACATTGTTACATAAAAAGGTCAAATACAATTACAAAATTTATGGTACACATTGAATAAAGTCCAGAAAGTGTCTAATAATTTGTAATACATGTATGATTGTCCACAGAAATTCTCAATAAATGAAGTACAAACAGAAGAAAATTCAGTGAGAACAAGCACACTATGATTTAACTTCTGTTTGTGTCTAGATTAACATTATAATCCTGATAGTGGTCAGATTATTCTCCATGCTTTGCATTTTTAAGAAAAATATTTTCATAGGTTTCCCTAGTATCATTATTAACTTTTCTTTGCATCTTCTTCATTACTCATCCTAACCACCAACATCACTTCAGTACCATCTCATTTTTGTATCCCAGAGGGCTGACATACAACTTTCCTTGGAGAGAATCCCTTACAAGCACACCTGCATGTGTACATAATGCACATGCATATGTACACAAGTTTACATGTTGTTTCTTCCCTACTCCTTTAGTCATCAAAATGTATTCTATTTTTCCCCAACTCATTCTCTATTTGGAAATTGTCTTTTGCTCCTTTGAACAGCTCATCATTAACTTCAAATATTTTGCTTTTATTCTTGCTTTAAAACATTATGTCAATTTTTATGTCTAAGAATTTGAACTCTTTTCTGTACTGCAAATTTATTCTGCAATGTCTCAGTAGATATTGTATTTGATAAACACTAAATCATGTTTTCTGGCATCAGTTTAGCTATCCTTTCTCCAAAATCTTTATTATATCTCTGTAGAATTTTTTGCTTCTACAGAAGCTAGAAATAGTGAATCTATGACATTATCAATTAATAATAATCCTTCTTATATTTGATTAATTTTATTTTCAATGGTTAATGACTAATTTAAGCCTTAATATTTCATTTCTTTACATCTTCTAAGAATGTTTCTTTTTCTTTTGGGTGGCTCTGCTTTGAACTCAAAGCCTTGTACATACTAAAGAAGTGCTCTTCTCTTGAGCTACACCCCTAACCTTGAAGTCTACTTGTCAATAGCTTGTGTCTAAGCAAATCCAAATTAGACTTCAGAGCAAATGTGTTTGAAGCTTTCTATGGGATTATTATTTTATTTTTGAAAATTTTTAACAAAAACAAGAACATTTTTAATGAATAATAAAAATAAACCTGGGAAGAATGAAAAGGTACTACATCCATAAAATATTTTCAAATGTGATTCCAAATTAAACTTAAAATAACTGTGTTAATTTTTTTTCCTCCAAATACTGTCAGTATTTAGCCCAGGGTTTATTCTTATATTCTGAATAAGAACTGAAAATGTAAGAGTTAGAATAAATATTTTTATTTTATTTTTTTCTAAGTAGTAGCTATTTTTGAATTTTAAAAGTTTTATGATTCAAATTAACTTTAAAATTAAGGAAAAATGACACAGTCAGATAAGACCATTTTTCTGTGTTCAGAATCATTCATTCAATAGAAAGCAGATTATAAATGCTGTATAAATTTTTGCCTAAGGGCTGGGGATTTAGCTCAGCGGCAAAGCGCCTGCCTGGCAAGCGCAAGGTCGTGATTTCGGTTCCCGGTACCGGAGAAAAACCAAAAAAAAAACAAAAAAACAAAAAAAAAAAAAAAATTTTTGCCTAATGTTAGTGATTTTCATGTTCACCATATTCTGGCTATGTCTTGCAATCCTTTGATAGAATCCAAAGGAAGAAATCAGGAAGATTGCCAGATTTTTAGACAAGAACTTGAATGAGGATATCATTGATAAGATCGTTCACCACACCTCTTTTAAAATGATGAAGGACAACCCTCTGGTGAATTACACACACGTGCCAACTGCAATGATGGATCACAGCAAATCCCCTTTCATGCGCAAAGGTAAATACTAGCTGTAAATTAATTGCACATTTTAATTTTGTGAAAGATTAGCTCTGTTAGCTCTGCTGTGTTACTTAGCTTGCATAGGACTCAAATTTTCATGAGAAAAAAGTGAACATTAAACTATAAACTACCACAAAATGTTCTGATTGAGATTTGACATTATTGAATGAAATTATGCATAAAATGGTATTAGAATATCTTAAATATTTGATAAACATTTCTTCTGTTTACTATCTTGAAATTTTGACAATTATAATACAATTCCAAGTTTGTCCTTATTACTTCCTTAAAACTGTGCAGATTGGTACAGGATGCATTTCCCTCCTCGGCAATATATTAACATTACTCAGTACAGTACTGAAGTCTTTACAATCCCCATGTCCTAGAGAAAATACAAGTCATTTTACATAGACAACTCCTCAAAAGACAGAACTTTTTTCCTTATTATCCTAAAAGTAGGTTTTGCATCTTCCAGATATTGTTTTAATTACAGGAAACAGAGCCAGCCTAAATTTAACTTAGACTAGGAATTCATTGCTTGAATAAAACTTTACTCCTGTTGAAGCAAATCTGGTATATTATAGCTTATTATATAAGATACATGTCATATTGTTGTTAATAAAGGAACATGTTTAACAAATTATTAAATGAAATAAATTTAAGAAGTTATATACCTATTAACACCAATACCTAATTTCAACATTCTTTTTAAAATTTGACACAAAATAATTTAACTTATTGTACTGGAAAATGAGCATAACCCTAAGAATGTGCTCTGCATGTGAATATGTGGATCAAAATTATTAATTTTAAAAGAGTTCTATGAGAGATTTTTCTTCTAAAAGGATTTTTTAAACTAACTTGTTAAAATAACAAAGTATAAATTTATTCAAAAAGTCTACATTTAACTTTTAAAAAGTAATCTTTATTTGAGAGAAGAAAAATTTTGTTTCTAAACTACATCAGAAATTGGTGCAAACTTTCCTCAGTTTATAGACAGGCACATATAATGTACGTGCAGATAAATTTATACACATATACATGTTTATTGACAGGTTTTTCCAGTGCAGAAAGAAGTAAACAGAATAAAATGCCTTTATTGTGGTCATGGAGAAGACCACAGTAGGAAAGGGAGGGATGTGGAACTTCTGAGGGCCTGTCATGGGATCAAAGTTTAAATAGGCCCAGGTTAGAGGCGGGTTTAGGTGGCGGAACACCTGACATGGCAGACCAAGATTGGGTAGGAGCATGGGAACAGGAAACAGGTTATTACAAAAAGGGAAGTAGGAAGTTGTAATTTGACTCAGAGGAAGAAGGATGGGGCTTAGCACATGACCTCTAGTGGCCAGCACCATATTGGCTTGGTGCCATACTGGCTCAGTGCCATAGCACATGACCCTCGGGGCCATATTGGCTGGGCACCACAGTGACTGGACAGGAAATACAGTGAGGCAAGAAACCCATCATTCCTGTCATTTGGTTATAGGGGCAAGGACTCCTCTTAGACTGTTTCCTGCTGAATAGGGGCATCTCTATGATGGGGGTAAGGGGACAACTGGTGTCATCTACATGAATACCAGTGTTGGGGATGTCTACTAGAGTGATGAGTTCACTAGCCATGATTTCGCAAAGCCTGGATTGAATAAAACTAGACAAAAGTTTAAAAATGCAGAGCCCTACAAGTAAACAGGTTATTATCAAGATTATAGGGCCCAGAAGAGGTATGAAGAATGGTGTCCATGACCCAAAGGCATCATTCCATCAGGACTACGAGGTAGGGGGAGAGAGGTAGTTTTTTAGATCTGGGCGTTTATGCTCAAGCCAGGTGTGAAGATTTTTTACCTTGTCCATAATGATCTCAGATACATTTACAAAGTAGCAACGTTCGTCTCCCAACGTAGCACAGGTGCCTCCTCTTTCAGCTGTTAGGACGTCAAGGGCACATCAATTTTGAAGAGTGACTGCTGCAAGGCTATTAATTTGGTATTGAAGGATGGCCTGTTTTATTAATTTTGCTTTTTATTTAGGAGAGAGATCAGCTATGATGTCATTTAAAGCCTGATGAGTATAGTTACTTAGGGCCTTGATATGTATCATATAACACTCTCTTTAGACAAGGTCTGGTGGTTTTTAGTAACAGGAATCTAACATATTTATCATTTTACTGTGTAGTTACTTGGAGTTTTATAGTCTCTAGGCAAGAAGAAACCAATTTCTTGGAGAAATTAGTATTATTATGGTACTGCTTTATACATCTTGTATACTTTTCTGTTGGATGTTTAAGACCAAGTTAAAGTGAGACCTGTATTAAAATTAACTCCTTGCTATCAAGGTCAGTTAAATCTCCTCAGGATTTACCTTGGAACCATGTACAGTGCCTCTCAGTACTTCAGTCAGTATCAGCTGTCTGGATGAGTCACGGCCATTGCTTGACCAAGTTGTTTTCTGTGAAAGCTTGGGAGACTATTTCTCCTGGTGACTCTTCTTAGGCACACCACACACCACTGAATCATTTTCCTCTGTGGTTCCATAATCTCCTTGGTCAGAAGATCAGGGACTCAACTGAGTTATATGATGTTGCAGCAGACGTTCTCTTATGTCCTGAGTCTTTATTGATCTCAGAGACCAACAGACAAATATTGGCTGTCCTCTTAGCCCATCTGTCTTTCTAATTTGGTCTACAAACCTCACTTGTTGAACATCCAGAAGAGAAGACTAATGACATTATATTGTAATGGGAGCAGTGAACTTAATTATTAAAATTTTATATGAGTGTTAAGCACCTTGAAATATAAAGTACAACCAGAGAACTATTACTTCCTACCAATCAGGTATGTTCTAGTAGTTGAATCCCTGAAGAATGTTAACAGACAACAGTTATATAACTTTACAAAGAAAACTGGAAGTAAAAAATCATACATCGTATTGTAACATAACAGGCATGATGACAGTTTGTAGCACAATAGAATAGCCCCATCATCCTTACCTAATATATTAAGAGATTTTATCTAACTTGTCCTTAGACAGGATGTCATTTAAGAAATTTGTAACATTATCTGGGCTGTTTAATATCTAAGCATCTCTAAATGTAGTGGCATATACATAGCATATACATCACATAAGTTTTTGTTGAAAAGTTAACATTTAAGTGATGACCTCATGTTGGCCTGATGTCAACCTCTTAATACAAGTATCTGGAACATGAAAGAAAGGCAGATGTCTGAATCTGAAAGAAAATTTCTATCATTTTTATAAACAACCCCAATTTTACATTTTAGAATATCATACATTTGGAAGGCATACATTTAATATACCATGAAATTGACAATAATGAATTATTATTTTGCTTTTTAATTTAGTTTTCTACCAATAACATCTTTTAATCAAAAATACCTTAATGTCTTATTTTCAAAAACTTGACCACCTTGTTTGGTATCTGCCTGCTTAGGTTTGCCTACTTTAAGAACCCCTAGTGCCGCTACTAGAAGCTCATGTTGATACTGACCTTCTGAGAATGGCTAGTGTTAACATATCACAATAATATATTCTGAACAATATTTATTAGGGTGTCTGCCATAAGGCTATGGAGATTATTGAGGCTTCCTATTAATGAACAAGGACTGGACAAATGTCTCCATGCGGCTGCTTCCTTATTCATCAATTTCAGTCCTGTCCAAGTTTCTCCTTACCATATGGTATTTTTATTTAATTATCTTAATAATTTTTTAAGTTTTATGAACATATAACATTTATCAAACCAATTTTGACATCATTTTGATGAGCTGGCAACGTTGGTGGAAGCATATCCTTAGCTTAGATAATATGTACATATAAGTTAAATTAAATTAAAGGCAGTTGTTTCAAAAATCAAAAAAATAGAAGAAGAAAAGTTTGTTGAGCTCAAATAAAACAGCTACTTACAGATTGGACAGAGAGACAAACAAATAAGAACACATACACATGAAAAATTTGCTTATAAAATCAGAGTGAACTCAAATATATTTTTGGCCAAATTGAATTATAATAATTTTTATAATTTTTTGTTTGTAATTATAAAGATTAGTCAGAACTCTTATTTGTAATTTTTTTGGGTCAGTTAGAGATCTCTTATCAGAATTTGGAAAAAATTAAAACTTTTCATCAATAACTAATATATTTTTAGCACTTTATTTTGTCTTATGAATGTCAGCAACTTTTGTGTCCCTTTTTATGTCTCAGGACACCTACAGCACTGTGACCTTGAGAGGTAGTGTGCAGTGTGAAGTGTTGAGTGGGCTTAGGGAGAGTGAGGGCTGGGACCCTTAGAAGAGCATGTTCAGTGGTGAGACCAAGCAGATGGGTCAACAATGAATCTGGTAGCCATAGCTCTCTGGTGAGGGTAAGGAACTAGTGGATGGCTTACCCACTCTCTGGTGGCTAGGGCAGTTGCACTTCCAATGGCCCTTGAGATTGCAGTGTGGGACAAGGCTTCTTGGGTGGTTGTGGGTTGGGGCAGGCTCATGCCCAGTGTCCTTTGTTGCTGCATTTGAAGCATGGTCCAGGAGGGGTTTGGGCATTGCTGCTGGAACCACCTTGTTTGGTATCTGCCTGCTTGGGCTTGCCTACTTTAAGAACCCCGAATGCCGCTACTAGAAGCTCATGTTGATATTGAGAAGCTGCCTTAGCAACTGCCAGTCTGCTAGCCCGCTTGCCTAGTTTTTGTCATTTCTCTCTGTTATTGAAAACATGACAGGACAAAGGTAAGAGCTCTTTCTGTGAGGACTGAAGGCCGAGCTCAGATATTTTAAATTTAGCCTGTTGCTGACTATCTGACAGAGAATCTGTTGCTGACTATGAGACAAAGTGAGAGTTAACAAGTTCTATCCCTGCATTTGACTGTGGATCTATATCAGTAAACTTTCTTAAAGTCTCAGTGAGATGAGCCAGAAACTATGTAGGATTTTCATTGTCCCTCTGAGTCTGTTTCATAAGTTTATTATAATTTACGGGCTTGGAGAGATCTTTTTAAGGCCCACCATAATACAGTCAATCATTATTTTGACCTTGTGGGAGCCCTCAGGCCCCTAGTAGTCCTACTGGGGATCCATAAATGGCTCCACCGCAGCTCCATCGGGATAATCAGGATTAGCTTGGTGCTTAATGTTAGCCTCCTATTGGGCTGCCTCCCATAACTTTTCTTTGCTGAGGAGAAAGAGTTGAGTTGAGAATGATGAAAAGATCTTTACAATGCAAATCATAAGAACTGGTGACAAATTCTAACTCTGAAATATATCTGTGGGGATCAGCTAGCTGCAAAAGACTCCAATTTATTAAAAATTTGTGAAAGGTCAGAGAGTGTAAAAGGGACATGGATATGAACTAGCCCTTCAGGGCTGGCCTGTTCCCAAAGGGGGCACACACGTTGAGACTGAGAGGAATTAGGAGGTGGTGAACAGTGAGTAGAGTCTGGGGGGAGGGGCAGTGAGCAAGTGGAGTCAGGGCAAGATGGCAGAGGGTGGCCATGTGACTTAAAGCAAGATGGCTGCCAGTGACCATGTAGCTCATCACAAGGTGGTCATGTGGCTGGAGGTCACCATCTTGTGACTTTTTACCATATGCCCTCTTAGATCAGGTGTGGTGGGCCAGAGGAGAGGAAGGCAATGCAGGAGGGGAAGAAAAGGAAGAAGAACTTTGAAATGAAATAGACTTTGTATCTGGAGAGGATGGGACCTGTCAACCGACTGTGGAGGAGGAGAATGAGACTGAGCGTGGGGCTGAGCATGTGGGCTGAGGTCAGGGATGATGGCAGAGGAGCAGAGGGAGGAGTAAGGCCTGAGGATGGTGTGTGGAAAGTGGGGGCTAGGCAAACTGCTAGTTTTGGAGATGGAGAAGACTCAGAAATGGGCAAAGAAGGGTAGAGAGAAGAGGATTGGGCCTCTGGTTGAGATGGCTGGGGTGAGGGGTTTGCCCACCTAGTTGATTAGGATTGGGCTGAGAGGAAGAGGGTAAAGAGTCAGCTTGTGGAGGCTGAGGATAGGGTAGAGAGAGAGAGCAAAGGCAGGAGGAACATCATCGAGAGGGTCAGGAGAAGCTTTAGGAGGAGATTTTGGTGGTGTGGAACGGGTCAAGTATATTTGGGCCATCCCACATGCCTGAAGGAGAGAAGGACATGCCCTGACAGCAATAAAGGCATGAACATAAGGCAATTCCTTCCATTTGCTCTTGCGGTGGCAAAAATTGTCTAGGTCTCTAAGGATGTTAAAGTCAAAAGTACTATTCTAACCATTTTGGTTTAACAGTATCTTTTAGTCCCAAAGTCTTCACATCCTCACTGGAAGTGATAATGAACATGTGTTTGTGGGTAGGCTGAGGTTTATTCAAGCTATTCTTGTATCCAAACTGATGATACTTAATACATGAATTAACTTCCTAAAACTATTTGCTTCACTGACAAAATGAAGAAAATAGTATCATTTTTAGCTCAAGTCTTTGGGGAAATTATAGCAAATGATGTATAACATTTAGAATGCTTTTTGCCCATTATACATACAGGATTAATACATTTTATTCTAAATAATTCAAGATTTATCTGTTCACTCACTCACATATTTATATTTTTGATAAATATTTAAATAGTTCACATTCTGCCAGGCATGTTGATGTCTGCATGTCTGTAATCCCAGTACTCAGGAGGCTGAAGCAGGAGGATCCATGTGAGTTCAAGGTCAGCCGAGGCTACAAAGTTCAACGCCAGCCTACTACATAGTGAAACTGTCTTGGTTACTTTTTTCTCATTGCTGGGACAGAATACCTGACGCCCAAAATGAAGGAAGGAAAGGTTTATTTTGCTTACAGTTTGTGGAGGTTTCAGTCCGTACTTGGCAGATTATAAGGCAGAGTGGCACATGGCAGAGAGCTACAGCTTATGGCTGCAGAACACAGCAAAAGCAACAAAACAAAAGCCAGGAATCGGGGAGGAATGGCCTCAAGCACCCTCTTCCTCTCCCTTATATATGCAAACTATCTACCCCAGGGCGGGTGCAGCTCTCAAACCCATATAACTCTAAAAGCCTGCCCCATGGCCACTTGAAGCTTTGGGGGGACACACAGATTCAAACCGTAACAGAAACCCTGTCTCAAAAAGAGAAAAAAAAAGAGTGCACATTCATTCAATAATTCGCATACAGAAAAAGCTCTTCATGGATACCTGCTGTAGAGAAAGGATGTAGGCAGGACAAAGGATAAAATTGCACTTCATTAAGCTTTATTAAAGAAATTAATAGGAAATCTTATTAAAGGCAGCTTTTGTCTCTGCAGTTAGACCCAAGCAATTAGACAAACATAAAGAAAGAGAGAATCTAGTCCCTGGAAGGCACCAGGCAACACAATTAATATAAGAATTTATCAGGAAGAGTTGACAGGTAAAACAGGAACGTTGCCAGGAATGTGATCAGGGTAACCAGCCCCCCAATCAGATAAAACGTAAAGGAGACAAGGACCAACCACCTAAAAACTCTTATTTAGTATATAAAAGACACACACCTATACATTTAGACATATAAAAATAGTCTCATTTTGTGGCCAATATGTTAGTACACCAGGCACAAACTTTGCCTAGTTTCTAACTCTAAGTTGCCTTTGTATGAGGACCCCCCCTACTTATCCATAACAAAAGGGCAGGAAGAAATCAAGAACCAAAAAAATGGCTGTGGTCAAAGATAGCAGAGAGCCAATCAGATTGCTACAAGTTCTAGGTGCCCAGCATGAGGCAGGGACGCCAGTCTTAATGAAAGGAAAGCTGAAGACAAAAATCTATGGGTATCTGCCTTTCTGATGTCCCCTACTCTTCCAGAGTAGCTGTCTGTCTTCACTCATCCCTCTCTGTCTTCTTCCAATAAATTGTCTTCCTTTATGTTAAACTTGGTTCCTTAAGTTTTTACTGGTGCTGAGTGTTACGATCCCAGTTAGCTGCATGTTCCAGCAGCGGTGCTGTGCATACCCTGCCCACAACAGCATAGACAGCTCATATTGTTTAGCAGAAAGATAAACGACACAGACTTTTGCCTCAAGAACACAATGTAGTGCAACAGGCATATGTACAAGTGAATGCTGACCAGCATCGAGTGCAAAGGAGAGCAAAGTTAGCAGGCACATGCAGACTGAAAGATGCTATGTTGATTAAAGCAGCGTCATCACTTCTTGTGTCACTGAGCTGGTCTGAAAGTCTCAGAGGCTGAACTAAGGAACCTATCCTGCCTTTATAGAATGAACTTGAAGCTTTACTGACTTCCATCACGGCAATATAATTTTTAGGGTGTATGAGTAAGAAACATGAGATTTTAGCAGTGGATTCAACCGTGGAGTTTGGGCACTCAAGTATGAGGTACATTCTGAGCCAAAGCACGGTGTACTTCAGCAGGTGTCTCAAAGATGCGCCACTGGGATATGTATTCTTACTGCCTGTCAGATTATCTATCTGGCAGGTTGTGCCTAACTGTAAGCTATTTAGAGGTGTTTGAATCTGAGATATCTTGCCCACCAATATTGCTGCTTGCTTGAGGGAGAGAGAGGTGCAATTTATAGATGAAAAGGGCAGGTCCAGAACCCAATTCACAGGCTTTTAATGTCTTTAAGACTTTTGGAATTTATTTTTTGCATGAGTTCTCTAGAGGGGAGAAGGCATGAGTAATTTTTGAGTTTTGAAGTTGCAAGAAGTGAAGTATAATTTTAAAATCTCAACTTCCTTATATTCTTTTATCTATTTTTTATTAATGTTAGCCTACCTCAGTCCCACAATAGTAAGCAAAATAGAGAAAAGATAAATGATAATCAATGTTTATACAGTACCTCTGTCTCTAATTACTCCAAAACTGAAAAATCTGGACTAGTTTGCATTCATTTTATGAAAAATTTCTTGTGAAGCAAATGTACTGGTAAATATTGTATTATCTGCTCACAAGTAAGGTGAGTAGGTTTTTATATAACTTTTTATTTCTTATATGTGTGTTATTTTGTTTTAAATAATCTTACACATACACTACTCCAAATATAGTTTTGCTGATCCCCCACATAAGTTCCAAAGAACTATTGTCATCTGGTAAATGTAGAAATAATTATAATAACCAACCAGACATTCTAGCATATGAAAATGCTTTTCATTCAAAGGATTTAGATATTTTATCAAACCCTGATAACTTTATATAGTTTATAATTTAATAAGATGTATTTGTATTTGATAAAGTAATAAATTGAAGTGTCCTTCAAGAACATTGTCAGCCTTACTTATTTTAAAGTAAATATTTAAAACAACTTAAGTGCGAGGTAAAAATAGCTTCAAATTTTGCTTTTAAAAAGATGATGGGGATATTCAACTTTTTGTTTTAATATTTCTCTTCTCACCTGAGCTACAAATACAGCACAAATTTACTGAGTCCAAGGCAAACAAGTGTCTTCCCAGCACTGTTGAGCTGATCTATAGGTTTGGGCAACCACAACAGTTCCATAGCTCCTCTGGATGGGGGTCAGGGCTTCCTCCTGTTTCTGGAAGAGCTCTGGAAGCAAAAGGTCTCCTGATATTTCTTCAGTGTTTAGCTAAAAGCTATATTACAAATGACAGGAAGTCTCCAGTATTTTTTAAAATGGAAGCTTTAATGTACTCAGATACAAGCAGTCTTTCCTTAAGTCCTCTTGTCTTTCCATTGTTATATCCTGGGTATTCCTTTGTAATGCTTATATTTTATTCTTTCATGTTTTCTTCTTTTTTTTAGGGATTACTGGTGACTGGAAAAATTACTTCACAGTGGCCCAAAATGAGAAATTTGATGCCATTTATAAGAAGGAAATGTCTGAAACCATACTTCAATTCCACACAGAGATTTAAAGTACCTAAATTGCAACTTGAAGAAAGAATAGATTACTGCTGTTTATGGAAATGGGATATTCATGACCTGACTGAGAAATAATTGAGTAGATTTATAAAGCAAAAAAATGCGCTTGACAGCTTTGATTTTGCAGTGTCATTATTAAGGTCTGAGTTTTGTCCTCTCAGTCCCATAATGCAAATTCGTGAAAGCTAAGGCTTACTACTGCATTTTCTTAGTTTACTTCTGTTCTGCTAAAGTAGGACCGACAGAGAACGTGCAGCTCTTTCTGCTCAGTCTCCCATATGCTCTAATTTAAAGTTATGGTCCCTTCCTGTTAACATCTTGTGAGAAGTGCTGTTTCCATGCTGTGACGCTGTTTCCGTGCTGTGACGCTGTTTCCCAGCTCTGCTCAGCTTTTCTGAGCTGAATACTTGATTCAGAACATGGAGCTCCTTGCTGGGTTTCATGCTGCTCCTGAGTTATAGCTCATCTTCTCCACAAGGCTTGTGTTTGGACAACACAGTTCAAGTCCCAGATCTTGTGGTTGAGATTTGGAATCATTTTTCTATATTTACTTAACATCTAATTCTCCAAATGACCCAGACCTTCATTATTCTGTCTACAGTTTTGGGGAGGGGACCTCATCTCTGAGAGCCTCCCTAGAGCTCTGGAGCCTCTTGCAAAAGAGATTATTGACCCTTTGAAATTCTGAGGACTATCTGCTTCCGGGCTCTGATCACTTTCCTCTTATTTCTGAATGGATTTGGATGTCTTTATAGCACCTGTAATACCAAGATAAGATTGCAGTACTGTACTGCTAAAATTTACAGACATCCTGCTTTGAGTAGATTGCCATAAGACTGCAACAAACCTTGTGATGTAAGGCCTGCAGGGAGCACCTTTGGTCTCTCGTTGTACCCCGGAGAGAAACGGTGGTGGGTATGAGAAAAATAAAGACAAGAGACAAGAGCTGGGTCAGGTGCGGTTACCTCTGACCTGATGGGAAGAGGACTGACTTCAACAGTAGGGTAGTTTGTTTTATAGTCATGCAAAGTTAGTATCGAGAGAGGTAATGTTGCCTAGTGACTAATGACTGTATTTGTCCAGGCAGGATGCCTTTTTCAATACTGAGGTAGCTTGACTGCCTGAGGCTCTTTGGCTCTTTCCTGCCCTCACACATATGACCAATGGCCAGCTCCAGTGGCTCCCAACAAAGGCCCATTCATGTCTCTCAGATTCAACCCACATTCTCTAAAAGTTATCTTTAGACATCCTTGTAGCCTTCTTATCTAAAGCTAAAAGCCTCTGTGGGCCAGAGAAGAGTAGTATTGTTGGAATTGCAACTTTGTGACCTTACACATACCAGTTGAAACACAATGTAGGCGTTTTACAAAGATCTACAGTGTGCTAACCATTGCAGGAAGAAGACGTTCTTTCGATAGTCACATTTGCTGCCTAGACACTTTCCCATATCCTCAACCCTCATAAAAGCCCCATCTCTCACCACGACTGTTGGATTCCTTCAGTTTCTCTCTCGGAACCTCCCCTTGGCAGCGCATCCTCTTCTAAATAAATTTTTATATTCTGTACATTCCTTGTTTATTGGTAAAATTCTTCTTACTGCCTGGGTCAGCAGCCCTTCATATGCTGGCTCACAGTGGCAATTATTTATTGTAAGATTCCAGGGCCAGCACCGTGACTTCCTCATTCCTCAGCATCCTCAACACTGCAGGGTCTTCTGCTGTCATGGTACTGGGTTCTAGGAGGTTCCCCAAAGGGGAGCCATAACTCACTCTGCCCTCAGAATAAGTTGTAATAAGTTCCCAGACTTTCATCACAGAAAAGTAATTTTTAAGACATCAGTGAAACGCAGGAAGAGTTTTACTAAGCAGAATTTTAAAACTACACATTCATGGCATACATAATCAAAAGAAAAGCACACTATGGTCTGGGGTTGAGGTATGCATATGGCCTTGTTACCAGCCACTTAGGTTCATTGCTCAGGTTCATTTGTTTGCCATTGACCAAATCAAAGGAGGTCGTATACTTTGGTAAAAGAAAATTATTTGTTTGAAGCTGTCTGTGTGGAGGTAGAGGGGCACATTTGACTCAAGTCTCCCAGTGTAGAGATGGGCAAAGGTCTTTTATAGTAAGGAACATAGGTGAGGAGAGCACAGGGATATCGTGCAGATCCCCACACCTGCTTTTCTCTCTTCCAGACATCTGAACTCATCATTCCCTTTCTTATGGAAAAGAAACCAGGCTCCAGTCTCTTAGGGCTTGCACCTCTATATTCTGTCACTTTTAGGGGGCTAAGGAGAGAAGGGGTGTTTGTTACATGTTCAGCAGAAGGAAGTTTGAATAAGTTGCTTATCTCTAAAAAAAAATTCTGCTTTTAAAGTTCCATTTTGGCATGCTGGTATCAGTCTCGGGGCCATCCTCAGGAAGTATAGCACAATGGCTGAATTAAGATTCACATTTCCACCATCTCTCAGGTTAAATTTAAAATCATCTCATCCTAATTTTTTTCTTACTGAAATACCATTATTGTAGAGCGTAGGTTATTTAGCTAACTTATAGCAAGGAGAATGGCCTGAGATGGAGGTGGGTAATCGCAATGCTCATGGAAATTTAAATAAGAATAGTGACCTAGGACTTTGGACCAAGAATGAACTCCCTGAAGTGACATGGAATACAGCCAATAGCGTACAGCTATAGGTATTTAATGATGACTAGTGGCTTCTTATGCCGACACTTGTAACGGGGTAGTATTTTGACATTTTATTTCTGCTTCTTCAGGCTATTTAATTTTCTACCCTGAAAGTATAAGGACTTGAATATCTTAGACTAAAGTGAAACCAAAACTCACAGTTTCTATCTTACTAGTCAATAACACCTCATATTGGTTTTTGTGCATAGAAAAGGGGTTAAATCACTAGAGCACTGGAGGTCAAATTAAACCACAAGCAATGGGAAAAGAAGGTAGGAGTACAGACTGGAGTAAGAGAGCCTTTCTATGATCTGGTCTCTACCACTGTTTAACCAAGTACTTTGGAACCTTGTGAAAGTAATGACTTTTCTCTGCCACATTTTTTATCTGTAAAATGATTGCATTGCAATGTTCTTTCAGGGATGGAATGAAATAATATATAAAATGATTGGTATGTTTTCTAGCCTACATCAGTATTAGTTGCCACAAAGGAAATCACTAGTAAAAGGGTGATGTTTTGGTGCTCAGGTGCTTTATGGAGGTTGGCCAACTGGTCCATCTCCCATTTGGCCCTCCTGCCGGGAAACTGGTCCTAACTTCAAAGTAGTGCTTTGGAGGATGGGCCCCACACATGGGTGAAGGGGGAGCCCGTTCCTTTCAAGTATATGCAGCTCACTGAGTGCACCCTCAAACTCCCACAAAGTCTGTCAGAAGCGTGTTGCACAAGCCTGCAGAAGGTAGATACCAATACAAAATGAAATTGAGTGTGTATATTTTAATTTCTGCCTAAAAAGGCCTTTTGTGCCTTTCCCTGATTAACCCTGAAAATTCTTCTTCTATAATAGTGGTCAGTGATTCTGAAAAATTATTCTACCAAAAGGTCAGTTATGTTTTTATCTCAGCTAGAGGAATCTCCTTGAAAATTTTTCAGTGACTCTCTTGGTTACTTTTCTCTCATTGCTAAGACAAAATACCTGACTATTGTGGACTGATCAGGCACACTAACTCCCAAACAAGTGGACAGTGAAGGCTTAAATAAAAGAGACAAGTGATACGATTTTAGGGCTCCAGGAGGACCAAAACCCTCTAGCAGAATTTCAGATTCTCTGGGGGCCGAGTCAAAGAACTCTAGGTAGCCTATATTTATTTGGTTTTCAAACAAGGGCAGGGAAAGTGAGGGAAACTTAGCAGGACTTTGGGAGTAAGTTCAAGGACTTCTCCAAGTAATGAATTATGTTGATTTTGGAGAACTATCTTATCTCAAGGTTGACCTTCACAGGCTTGGAGCCAGGCATCCTCAGCTGGGACCTTGTCCTTTTGCAGGGGACAGTGAATCTTAGCATATTATTTTAGATAAAATAGTTTTAGTAAAGGCCTAAAATGTGTCTTGGGAAGCCTCCTGGACGCTGAAGAGCTAATCCCTTAGTCAAACTCTACCTGGGAATGTCTCCCTGAGATAAGGAACACCCAGGCCTAGATAACCCTCTGTGACCCTGCCTGGGTAGTTTCATCCCTTTCCCTGGTGCTAGGTAAACATTGTAACCCTAAAGGTATGTATGCATTGTTAAAAGGAAAACAAATGGAACATAATGGGAGAAGCATCTGTCCTGGGTAGACATGAGACTGGCAACTGACCTGGGGTCCCACAGGATGAGACAAAAACCATATGGTCACTGGGGTCAGTGAATGTAACAACCCAATTTGTAGCCATGGAAACCCAAAACCTATTTAAGATCTGAATCAGAACTAGCAGGCTCTCACTTCCCTGATTTGTAAGTAAGGGATGAAGGGTAGCGAGCCTCAAATTAATGAAAATTCTGTTTGTTTGTTCTAAATAGAGTCTTTTGGTTGTTTGTGGAATACAACCTGATTTCTGCCATGAGCTGTCATGGCATCACAGGCCACTACAGGCCTCACCCAGGACAAGTGACTCCTAGAGGTTCACTTACTATGAATCCACTGCCTATCTGCAGACAAGGGTCCTAGGCATTGGAGAGGCTCACAAGTAAACATGGAACACCAATTAATTAATTATAAACCATGCTAAGAGCCACTCTGTAGTAGTCTCCTTCTCCCAACACCCAAATTAAGGAAGGAAATATTTATTTAGTTCTCAGTTTGTGGAAGTTGCAGTCTACAATCAGCTGTCTCCAAGGCAGAGTGGCATGACACACGGGCAACTATTCAAGGCAGCAAAAGACAATAAAAGCAGCAAGAGCAAAGGGGGAGGAGAGAGCAAGCTTCTTTTCCTTCCTTATATTGTAAGCAGGGTACCACCCCCTAGGGTGGGTGTAGCACTCATATCATCTCTGTGCCCTCTTCTCACACAGGCTCAGGATGTTCACAAAGTGAGGACCCCGGCCCACTGCTGAGTCATTTAGTTAAGCTTCTAAACTCAAGTTGACATAATATATCAGCCATTACAGTTAATATCCTAAAAACTTTTCCTAAATAAATACCTCTGGGTTACTCTATATATATCTTTAAAAACTGAATTTTACCAGAATAGCAACCTCTGTTTTTATTCTTGTGACCAATATTCCACACAATGGAATCTACATTCTTGATTTATGACTCCTTCAGAAAACATATTAATGGAATGATACAGATGGAATATTTAGCTTTTTGATTTTATTCTCTCAACATTGTATCTGGGAGATACAACCATCTCATTGTAGTTATTTCATTTTCATGATTACATAGCATTGCAATTTAATAGTATATCAAAATTCATTTGTTCCTCATGCTATTTGAAAACTTTCCCATGTGTGTTTCATAAATAGGACTGCAGTGAGGACTCATTATTTTTGCTACGTTTTTCTTGCATTTAACCTAGTAGTTTAATTACTAGACAGTATTATCTACGTAAGTTTTGGTATATCATCAAAGAGTTTTCCAAAGTGATTATTCTGATTAACAATTGCATTAGCAGTACATGAAACATTAGCTCCAGTTTTTTCTCATCATTTAGTTTTGTATTTTTATAGCTAAGTCATTAATTCTCTTCTTTTGGTAACTGTGCATTATATTCTTGTTATAATTTGCACTTAATTGTTGAATGGTACAGTTTGAGCCACTTTCCATGGCACTGAGTTGTTTTGATACTCTCGTCGGGGAAATACCTATATTTAAGTCTTTTGTCTATCTTTCCATTTGCTTCTTTTTATTATATATATTTCAAATTTTTCCTAATTCCATGAAATGAGTTTTAGTCACATAGCAGTTTTTGATATTTTTAATATTGTTCAGCTGCTCATTTTTACCTTTATGACAAGCATTTTTAATATTGTATAAGAAGTATTTGCTTGCTGCAAAGGCTATGAGGTGTTCTGTTTCTGTCCTAAGGATTTATGGTTTACCTTT